GACATAGGTTGCTAAGCCTTATCAACTTTTGCACATGGATGATATGAAAGGAAATATTTTTTTTTTTAGGTTTTATATATACAGTTGAATAATCATAAAAATCATAAATTACTATATCAATACCATAGAATTCCACTATAAATTATCAAGCTTCGTAACTAAGACGTATTTTAGTCTAAAAAAATATGAAATTTCGAGCAGATTAAAGACAAAACCTACCTCCTTGAAATCTTGTTTTGCAAGAAAGAGATGGCATCCAAACACATTAAAATGTCTGAGAAAGCCACTAGGGGAACATTTTGAGCTTTCGATTGGTTATTCATGTCATATATAGAAGTGTATATAAGGGAGTGTTTCCAAAAATGGAAAGAAGTGGGCATGGTGCCAATGTGTTTGATCTATTACATGAGTGATATCTTAGCAAATTAAAAAGATAAGAGGCTCTTATTTTATATTCCATCTTGTCAATATTGATAATTTGAGTTCCTAATTTGTACAAAACTATAGACCTAGTATTTTGACATCACAAACATCTAATTAGAACCAGTGCTGCATTATCATACCATGTAACACACAAAAATCGATGTTTAATTGTGTTTTTTTAATATTTACTTTTAAATTACGAAATTGAGTAAGGTATAATACTAAAATTTGAATTATAACCAACAGTTTGATACCAAACTTATTGACATAAATTCATGAAATAGTATTTTAGTAAAATTTTTAATGCAAGTAAACAAACACGATGACATGTCATTTCACTTGTGACTCATCTGGAAAGGTTTAAAGTCTACAGAAGATTTTTCTGGTTGTTCCATCCTCATTTTTTCATTCAAGCCTTGGAATGATTGAAAAGTTAGGAAACATGAAAAAATTAAAAAAGATTTTTCACTCGCAGACAATCAACTTTTATCATCTCAGCAAGCAATAACGTCTGTGCCAAAAAACCATGAAATAATAGATAGTAACTCTCCCACATAACATCAGAATATTTAAAACAGTAGTAAGTATAAGTCATTCAAGTAAAAGAAGCTGCAAATCAGAAAACCATATCTTGAGTTTTGATGTTCTTCAAGAAGCTTAGTTTGTACAGTTGATTTATATAATTTGAATGGTTATAGTAAATGATAAGGTTTTAACTGTCAGTGATTAACATCATAGACAGAATGTGTGTGTGTGTGTCTGCACTCCACTAGACAAAATCAGTTTTGTTAACGTTACAAAACAAAATTTTATTTATATGCCATTCCTACAAAATATCTATAAAAAAAAACTGATGTCTCCTCACTAATCATGATTTATAACTATCAATTTAATGATAAAATCAATATATTTGAATGGTTTGTTGCTTTGTTTTGATCAAAAGTAGGTTTACACAGTTTAAAAATGAAACTCTACCAGCAAGTAAGTGGGTAAAAGAAGAGCTGGATGTCTTGTCAGATTTGTTTTTTTTTCTTGTTGTTTTAGGATTTTTTTGACATCTATGTCTATTCATCTTGTTCCATTTTCCAATGTAGGTAGATGAAGAAAAAGACAATGAGATATCAGGAAGAAATGACAAACATGTGGAACTTTATCCTAATAGTGCCAGTTTTGATTCACACTTGAAATATTCTCCACAAAGCTCTATGAACTATGCCAAAAGTGATCCTGTTAATCAGCTAGAAGATGTGGAGTTAAAAACTCATAACCTGAGTAGTGATTTAGAAAACAGTAAAAAGAAAGATATTTCACATGAGGCAGTGATGAAAGAAGCACTTGATTATCATGTGTGTGAAAGATTTTCAGAATCGTCTAAGACAGCCGTTTCAGCAGAAAATAACCTTCAGTTAGATGGTGACATTGAAAAAACTTGTAACAAAGCGACTAGTAAGATTGTTAGAGCCAAATTAAAAGAAGGTGCTGAAAATTTTATGATAACTAATGATTCACAATTAGCCAGTGAAACTGCATCAAGATTGAATAGTAATATTGGTTTAGCATCAAAAAGGTGCAAGAAAAACCAATCAACCTCAGTAAAAGGCAGGAATCGAATAGCAAGGAAACGGTCACAAAATTGTGATTGGTTTTATAGTGAACTTCATAGTTCTGATTCAGATAAAGAAACTTCTGTTGGAAAAAGTAAAATTCAGCCAAGGGGAAAGCTTTCTCTTAAAAGAAAGAGATGAAAAAAGAACTGGATTAAAAAATGAACAATGGTGAAGACAAATTTTACTCTAGGCTGAATTTTTTTATGCCTATCTTTAACAGCAGGTAATTGATATAAGCTGGTCACGATGAGATTAAAATATATGTTTATGTATAACACACATTTATATATTTTTGTTTTAAATATCTGTAACATTCTGAAAATATTTTTGCATACCACATAAACTTTTACTAGAAGGAAAATAGGCATTGTAGGGTATCCTCTGTGTATGATATTGTTTGGTGTGCTACAGTACAAGTGAATTAGCGTGGCATGGGCTATTTGTTCAGTTTCACATGTAGGTTTTTCCAGTGGATTTTTTCTAAAGTATTTGAGTGATGGTTATTTTCTTCATGACTTTTCTGTAAAAATGTTTGTTTCTAAGAAGCTTATTGCGAATTAAACAGTACTGCAACATATACAAAGACATTTTTCATGCATATGGTGAACATTTTCTCAATGATGTTTATTGCTAGGCAGCAGTAGTCAAATTGCACGGGAGTGCTTGGTGGACAGCCCTGCCCACCGCCACTACGGCACTGACTACTAAATATCAGTAGCCTATTGTCAACACTGTTAAGCCTAATGTTTGATAATAAACTAAATTAGTTTTTATCATTACTTTATGTTCACACTGAAGTAATTAAGCTCATCTTTCATTTTATACAAGTGTCAAATAAATACTGGTCTCTACTTTATTTGATGTTTACATAATACTAATAATACAAAGTATTTTACTAATAATAATTTATCCTGATTTATAATCTACCTATAACTTATAAGCTGAAATTAAATAACATATAAAATCAAGTATACAAGTTACTCCTTAACCCTATAGCCACGGGCATCCTTTACTGCGCATGATACAAGAGCTTTGATGTTACCTCCCTCTTTACAAATATTCCCTTAAATGAAACCATTAACATATGCATATCTGAGCTTTCGCGTAATAACATTCCTCTAAATGGCTTTTCTGAAAATCAAATTAAGACCATGCTGGATCTTACCACTAAAAATTCACATTTCCTGTTCAATGACACCTTGCATGAACAAATAGATGGCGTTGCGATGGGCTCTCCACTAGGTCCAACTTTAGCCAATGCATTTCTCTCTCATTACGAACAGAAATGGCTTGACACCTGTCCAGTTAACTTTTAGGCCTGTTCTATACAGAAGGTATGTGGATGATACTTTTATTCTTTTTAATAAAAGTGATCAATGCTCAAAATTTTTAGAATACCTTAACTCACAACATCCTGCCATTAAATTTACATGTGACGTTGAAAATTATAATTTACCTTTTTTTAGACATGCTCATTAACCGTAATGCTAATGGATTTTCCACATCAATTTACCGAAAAAAGACGTCCACTGGTCTCCTTACACACTTTAATAGCTTTATCCCATTTACGTA